TTTATGTAATTGCGATTGCGAGAAGTTCATTTTATTGGTAAATATTTCCGCCATGTCACTGCGCCTTCATTTAAAAAATAATTTGCAAAATCTTCTCTTACATCTTTAGCTATGGCAGAAGCTGGCCTTTCAACTGGTTCAAAGTTATTTAATGCTGTTTCGTGATTTGCTCGCCATTCACCTGCGACAATGTGACCCATTATATCAGTGTCTATAAATCCAACCGGTGTGTACAATAAGTTCGAAGTTTTACTTGCTCTCAAAAATTTGTGTAGAAAAACAGTTGCCAATACAATTTTTTGAGCTTTATCGGGATGCAAACATAGTGGCTTTTTTAAAACTCTGAAAAATGAGGACATTATTTTGAACACCAACCCGACGAGCTCTACTTAATCTATAATTGAAAATTCTTTCATTTGTATCCTTGCTATGAAACCCACCAAATTGTTTCATAATTTTAGTGGTTAAAGGCAATGCCCTATCATTAATAAACTTATGCGGGCATTTCTGCAGACTACATGGGAGTAGCGTCGCTCCTGGGAGGTTTAACAAATTATTATTGATATATTGAGATATGAGGGCGTTTTTTTTTTTTTTTTTTTTTTTTTATGGCATTTGACCGTGTGGTCATTTAGCCTCTTAATACATAAATAATATGTTACAAAGTTACAAATACCAGAAAAATACATATTTTACAAATTATTTACAACATAATATTGCAACTTAATTCTTAAAACCTTAATAACTAATACTTTATTTTTAGAACTATATTTTAATGTTACATTTTTTTAAGAAAAACAGAAAAATTTTAAATATATTTTCATCATTAGTAGAAAAGGCTATTGTAGTGTTAATAGGAAAAATGAAGTTGTATTTATTCAGTTCTTGTAGTAAGAATGTTCTTTGATTAGCATAGAGCTTGCACTTCCAAAAGATGTGGTCAAGATTGTGAATTTCCAATCCGCAAGAACAGAAGGGATCTTCTGCCATGCCAATTCTAAAAAGATGAGATTTGCAGAATGTGTGGGCCGATCTAATACGATTGATAACGGTTATTTCGTCTCTGTTCAACCTAGATTTGGCAAACCATGTACTAAAAGACACTTTTGGTTTGCAAAATTTAAATAAAGTTCCTTTTCTGCCTTCCATATCATATTCGTTTTGCCATAACCTTAATCCTTGTTTCCTTACCCAGCTTTTTAAGTCAGACGCAGGAGCCTTTCTTGAAGGAAAATTTGATAAACAGGCTTCTTTTGCAAGGCCATCCACATATTCGTTTCCATGAATATTGGAATGCCCTTTTATCCATACTAATTTAATCGTGTTTTTATTTTCTAAGACGCTTTCTATTTTATGGATGGTGTCAAAAATTAAATCATTGCAATTTTCTTTAGGATGGTTTAGAGCCAGAAGTGCGGATTTACTATCTGTTAGGATTAAGGTTTTTGGAATCTTTTCTTGTATACAAAGTCTAAAGCAGCATTGATACCTGTAAGTTCTGCCGAAAAGACTGAGGCAAAATCCGGTAAATTAAATTGTAAATTTTCTCTCTATTAGGTACATAGACAGCACACCCCACTTTATTTTCTAACTTGGAACCGTCAGTGTAGATAACAGTGAAATCTTTCCATTTCGTGTCTAACCAATTCTCAAACTCCCTGTTTATTATACTTTTATTGGAATAATGAGTCATATAATTGAAATCATTCAAGACTATATATTTCTTGGGAAATGAGTAATTCCAAGAATGACTATGATACGGCAGTTTATTATTTGTAATTATTTGATCTTCTAGAGGTTTCAAATTATAAAATCCAGTTATTAATGGAGGTGTCGGTCTATTTTTCCAATAGTTTACCCTAAAATGTAAAACAGCTAAATGTTCCAATTGTTTCGGGATTCGTTCAGAATCCGAGTTGAATTTTTTAATTAGAAATCTATTAGTTAGTATTCGTTTCCTAATGTTTAATGGGGCTTCCCCGGCTTCCGCTAAAATGGCAATGCGAGGCGTTGACCTCATAGCTCCCAAGCACAGTCTTAAAGCCGAAAGTTGAGCTTTATCTAGTAATCCTTGTATATTGGTTGAGATTCCTCCGTAAATGAAGTATCCATAATCAATATGTGATCTAATTATGGATTTGTAGATAGCTAAACATGAACTTGGGTGGGCTCCCCAGTCAGTTCCAACCAATCTTCTAATGATATTCTTACCTGTTTCACATTTTTTGATCACCTCTTCAACGTGCACCCGGAAGGTCATCTTTTTATCAAAGGTAACCCCTAAAATTTTCACACTATCGTATATTTTACAGATCCAATTCCCCATATTGATTTCTTGAGGGTAAATGAATTTTCTATGCCTGGTGAACAGGATACCCTTTGTTTTGACCAAGGAAAGGTTCAGGTGGTTGGACCTCATCCATTCTGAGACACCTGTGATCGACGACTTCATTTTGTGAATGCATTCCTCAAGTGTGTTGCAAGAAATGTACAAAAATAAATCATCAGCATATTGTAGTTTCTTAACATCGTCTTGGGTAACTTCAGTAAAGTCCGACATATAAATATTAAATAATAACGGACTCAATATAGAACCTTGTGGTAAGCCTGTAAGAGCTACTCTGGGACCTGTTAATTTATTTTTATTTTTTACATATAGCAACCTATTGGTGAGTAGAAGAATTATCACTTTCATAATATTAGAGGGAATGTTCAATTTCTTAAGTTTGTTCAGTAAAATGCCATGATCAACATTATCGTAAGCCTTATGTATATCCGTCGCTAACAATAGGAGGTATCCATTATTCGAATTAGATATATGAATGTCATTAGATAAGGTACTTAACAGATCATTTGTGCCTTGACCTCGTCTAAATCCAAATTGGTTTTGATTGAAGAGAGACTTGTTTTCTATATACCACTCCAATCTATTCTTGATGATGGCTTCAAATGTCTTATTCAAACAAGATAATAATGAAATTGGTCGATAGGATTCTATCTTCAAAGGGTCTTTATTCGGTTTCAAGATGGGAATAATTATAATTTTTTTCCAATCCTCTGGAATCCAGCATGTAGAAAGAATTGAATTAAATACCTCTATGATTAGACATTTTGATGCTATGGGGCTCTTCTTTAACATAATGTATGAGATAATATTATCCATTCCTGGCACGCTGTCTTTTTTATTTTTTAATATATTATCAAATTCATATAGTCTGATAGGAGAAATTAAGTCATCGGGATCTCTTCCGAGATTATTTGCAAAATTCAGATTGATTTCATTGGAGACCAAGTCTGGAACGAACATTTTAGCATGTCTTCGAAGAAAGAGCTACCGACTGGAGGCTTAGATGAGTTTTTATTATTTTTGTTGTTAAAAATTTTGACTATATTCCAAAGCTTTGATGTATTAATATTACTATTGAGTGAGTTTGTAAAATCCATCCACTTTTTTCTCTTTTTGGATTTGAGAATTTTTTTTGTAATAGCGTTTATTTTTTGATACTCAATAAAATTGTTGTAAGTAAACTCATCTACCATCTTTTTGTACGCTATTTTTCTTTGCCTGATCTGGTTTTCACATTCTTCGTCCCACCAGATAGCGGGTTTAAATTGTTTAATTGCAACTGTTTTACGTTCCTTGAAGTGTTTACCAGCTGCTTCGTTTATGATCTCGATAATGGCATCATATTTTGACTTATGATCCTCATGGAGTACCACTTTTTTCAACTTATCTTCTATTTCCCATGCGTAATTCTTCCAATTGGCCTCTTTGGTATTCCATTTTCTGGAGGGATATATATAATCTTTTACATCAAAGTTAGTTTTTAATGTAATGTTAATCGGCAAATGGTCAGATCCTAAGCTGCCCGCATAAATGTCCCACTGGATTTTGTCATATAGATTATTGGAACAAAAAGTAAGATCTATTGGCGTACCTTTCCTACTTGCCGTGCTGATAGTGGTTGGTCTTCCATCATTCATTATGGTGAGGTTTAGGTCTTCAATTATGTTGTATAGAATCTCGCCTCCTCTGTCAATGGAGGCACTACCCCAAGCTAAATTTTTGCAGTTAAAATCCCCTATTATGAGTATTGGCATGGAAATAGTTTCAATTAAATCTTTATGTTCTTGAAATATTCCTTAGAGTTCGGCGCACAATAGATTGAAATAATACATACCGGGTTTTCTAATTTTAAAATCACTGCACACATTTGGATAAGATGGCACTGAAATGGGTGGTTAATTTTCTCGCATAATATGTTGTCTTTGACTAGAATGGCAGTACCGCCATAACCGTCAACTCTGTCTTCTCGGAAAATCCGATAACCTTTGACAAAATATTTGTGACCTTCTTTAAGCCAGGTTTCGGACAGACCTGCCACATGAATTTTATGAGACCACATATAATGTTCTATACTACTCTTGTTTGCTAACATTGATCTACAGTTATATTGTAAAATGTTTATTTGTTTCATAATGAAAGGAGTACTGATTGATTTATTTTTCTGAACTCACAGGTAAATCCTTATTAGATTTTTTCTTTTTTAAACTTGCAGGATCTATTTTGTGTTTAATTTTTACCATTTTGAGAAAAACATCACTTAACAAATTTTTTAATACGGGATCATTTGGATTATAGACGTCCTTTAGCAGCCTAATGAAATGATATAGGCCTCCTGATGTGTTAGGATCTTCACTTTTCCTATTAGATTTTACTTCATTTTCAGAATCAGAATCTGATTTGTTTTTCACTCTTTTTCTAGGGTTTATAAAGTTTCCCTTGTCAGCCATATTTTCTTTATAAACAGGTTTTATGCTATGTCCGATTACAGCCCCATTCTTTTCTCTCTTGGTTGAGGGTGGAACATGAATCCTTTTAGGTTTATTAAATGTCTGGAAGTTTGCAACATATCCTTGGTCTTCCTCCTCTTCCAGGTCCGATAGAACCATGAATTTATTGTTTATTAAAGCCCCACTCTGGTTAGAGTTCTTGATTTTCATTGGAAATCTTTATCTTTATTCAAGCTGCTATGGTTGACTCTAACTGTTCTCGAGTATTTATCGTTATCAAAGATTTTTTTTGCTTCGTAGAAAGATAAATTCCGTGTTGCCATTAATTCATTAATATTTTTATATCTTTTATAGATCCTGCAATCTTTATTATAAGCCTCGTGGTTATCTTTGCACAGGCAGCATAGATAGTTGGTATCTTCTAAACATACGTCTTTAATATGAGGACCTGCACATTTGGGACATCTTAGGTCGTTCCGGCATTTTTCCCGAACGTGGCCAATACGCCAACGTTTGTGGCATTGGGTGATCTTCTCAATATATGGGCTGACTGGGCATTTTACAGAATGTATACCTACCTTATCCGGCAGAATTGAACCTCTGAAAGATAATTTCACGCATTGCGAGTTGATTCTGCGTTTGTTGATGTTTTTTGGTATAAAACACTTTACGTCTATTACTGGAATGACTGATTCTATCTCTTCTAATATTTCTTCTGCCGTGAGATTAATATCTACATCAAAGATTATACCTTCCCTAATTAATAGGTATTTAGGAATGTAAGCTTTCAAATTATTAGCAGTAAAAAAATTATCGTCAAGAAGGCTATTTGCTGTTTTACCATTCCTAAGAACTAGTTTGACTTTATTATTACCAATCACGATAATCTCCAGCAAATCTTCTTTCAGAATCGATCGTGATCTGTGTAGTAATTTTCCGAGAGCCATAGGGTGTAAACGTCCAATGTTTTTACTTAAAGATTCTACGTAAATGTAAAAAGGTCCAGTATCACACATATCAAAACGATTCGGTAAATGTATTTCATCAACGTTATTTCGATTAGAATTCTCATCACTAGGTACTTGCTCAATCATTTCAATATTTTGTGCTTCATTGCTTTTGTCACACACATTATTCATATTAATCGACTCTTCAATTCGAATTGACTCTTCAATCACCGTTTCAGCACTATTAATTTGCATTGGATTATGTTCCCTTCTTATTATGATCTCCTCATTATTAGAATTACGTAAATCTGTATTATTTTCATTTCCGACATAGTACACATTCATTGCATTTGCAACAGTCACGCCAATTTCCGAACATGTAGGAGGATTTTTATCGGGCGGACGGCCCTTTAATTGTCCAGTATCGGACTCCATAAAGACATTGATTTAATTAGCACAACAAAAATGCGGTTAATTTACTTAATTACCACTTATATTAATATAAAATACACAATGTTTATACGACATTGCGTGCCCCCGGCAAGGGGACACGTGTTTAACGGTATCTATTTGTACACAATGCAGTCACTAACACAGGTCACTGGACAGGTAGAAAAAATATTAGTACTTTTTGATATTTATGGAAAGGTTATTATTTATTCACCGATGTTAACAGCTCAACGTCTGAACGAATACTGACGGAGGGCGTTTTTAAAAAACGCCTCCATCGGAAATTCTGCCTTGGCATCCTATGTCTGCAAATATAAAATTATAGTTAGCATCTACTATAGCAAACAAAACAATAGTGAAAAACCCTTTATAATTGTAATAATCAGAGCCACTATTAATGAGGCAATCAATTCTTATGTGTTTGTCGTGTATTGCACCAATACAATTCCAGCGTTTTCCAATTGCACGGGAAAATTCCAGCGTCGTTCATATCCTGAGGCAATTTCAAGCCACTCTTCTGCCGTTTCTGGCATCTTAAATAAATTGTTCTTTTGTGTATATACATACACACACTCACATATATAATGCCCATAGATAATCATTCTTACTTTTATGTATTGTTTCAACGATGATATCAAAGCATCACAAACGCGAGGAATAATTTTTGAAATCGATTGCTTTGATATATGAAACAAATACTGTAAGCTTGCGTAACTATCCCCAGTATCCAAAAATCTTAAAGTAACAGCCAATTGCTCCTTGACTGATATGCAGCATCGAAAGTTTTTGGAAAAATTTGACTTTTGAAAAATTAGATCTTTTTAATATTTCGAATTATTTTTAATACTCTTATTGATTCTGAAAATTTTAAACTTTTTTTAAAGCAATCGTGCTGTGTGAATAGTTAAACATTGGTACGAAACCCATAGAAATATAAACAGAATTCATATTTATTAAACTATCTGATAATTTGAGGTGCATATGTCAATGATTATTTTTGACCGCCAAATGTCGTTTTTTTTTACTTTTTCACTCGATTTCTGAAACCGCTTTACTACGCGTCTTCGTAAAAACTCGAACGGTACTTTATTTTGTCGGTATCATTTTTGTTTTTTATGCCCTGTATCTTCGAAACGGCTAGATCTGCCATTGCCAAAAACTAATCAGTCATATTCCCGAAATCGTCGTCAAAAATTTGATTATGATTATGCTAAGTTATTTCTGAGGTATGCCAAAATGTTCAACTCTCGAATTCTAAAGATATATGCAAATTTTCTATTTCGATTTTTTGCGATTACTATAACTTACTCTACGGGCGGTTAAATATGTATTCGATCGTATATGACAATTAAATATTTAGCATAGTTGCCTGATATATCAAATTCTAAATCTCAACATCTAAACATCATGTGTTTTGGAAATATTAAGCGACTAATTTCAATGCGCAACCAACCAACGCAAAATTCAAATTTCTACTACGTGTTTATAAACCTATAGATCTCAATTATTACAGATAGAATTATAAACACAATTATAAGACAACATAACACTCGTCGTAGTTTTCATAGCTTTATGCTATTCCTCTACAATGATTATGAATCATGTTTAGAAGTATTAGTTGTATTTTCGTCCACCCGTGCGGCATAATGTTCCTGTGTGTTACAAAACTTTATTATATGTCAATTACATAACGTCCATCCGAATATGCCGAGAAGTTTTACTGGCAATCGAGCTGTGCACGTCACAACAAAGGTTTGCTGGATGTTGTTATCATTAAAACATAACGAGTGTAATCCAACAAAATCACCCGCAGTACAAAATAGGATTTACCATGCTTTTATTATGTGCATTGCTGTTCTTTTGTGCATGGTACACTGTTCTTTGTAAGGCGATTAATTTGCGCATTTCTGAATTGTGAACATTGCGGCATGTGTCACGATCATACAGGTGTTTTATAATAAAACAAATTGTAGATTTATTAAGGACAAAATTGATTTGAATGATATATTGCGCAGCATATTTTGTGTAAAATGTAAAACATAATGTTAATGTCGTAACACATAATGTTATATATTATATTTTTTATTTCATTTTACATGAAGAAAATTAACGTTTGTAGTGTTTATTTTTCTGTCTGTAATATGCAGGTTGTATTGTACTATTTATTCCTGCATTTTCCTGCATCATTTTGTATTGCTGACTATTGCCGTAATTAGATCAACAAAATTGTTTGAGTGAATAAATGAATATATTAGCGAATAACTAATTTTTTTTTATTTATCTCATTTCTTTGTGATGTTCAGTTAAAATAAAATGAAATTTATTCTTAAAATAATATTAAAACTGTATATATATATATATATATATATATATATATATATATATATATATATTTCAAAGTAACTAGCAGCCCATTCGTCGAAATAAAAAAGGTATAAAGTATAAAAACTTTTATTTATACGTTTCGACACAAGATGCGTGTCATCATCAGCACGCATCTTGTGTCGAAACGTATAAATAAAAGTTTTTATACTTTATACCTTTTTTATTTCGACGAATGGGCTGCTAGTTACTTTGAAATATGTTTCAACGTCGAAAAAACTATCAAGATATATATATATATATATATATATATATATATATATATATATATATATATATACATAAGTTCTTGTAGGGCGCGTACATAAAAAAACAAAGATTTATAAATTGATCTGTATTCCAACCGTTTCGACATTCAATTTAATGTCATCATCAGTGGATCTAAGAACAAAAATTATATTTTTCATGAATTATTATATTATATAATTTATATCTGATTTTAATTATAATATTTTAAATATTAACTAAAATGCCACATTTGGCTTATTGCAATGATAATGTAAAAAAACTACTTATTAAATTATTGACCATATTTTATTGCCCTTATTCTTGTTAAGTTTGAAAATTTTTCATCATTAATTAAATTTATGCGACACCGAATATATATATATATATATATATATATATATATATATATATATATTTATATATATATTATTAATCATTTGATTTTCTACACCTATTTTATCAAAACTAAATGCTCAAAATATTGAGAATCTATGTTATAAGAGATCCAACTATTTCATCAAATATACGTATTTGAATATATTGATAAATTTGAGATTTTGGAACACGTGCATTTAATAGTATAATTTTCAAGTTTGCATTTTACGCGCAAATTAAACTCAATCTAATTACAAAGCAGTCAATCTAATACTTAAAATTTACAATCAATTATTTACATAATACCATTTTATCAACAAAAAATATTGCTTTATTTGATAGAGTTAGTATAGATATAGATATAGATGTTTTGCGTTTTGCTTTTTTAGAATAAAATTTTGCATATAACGAGGTAATTTGCTAATTTGCTGGTTCATCCACTTTTTGTAAAAACTTCAATAAAATATAAATCTGATTATTATAAACATAAATTTAATTTTGTTGTTGCTGCTCTTAGTAGAAACTCTTGAAGTCGAAAACTTAAACGATATTTTGCGGAATTAAGTGGATTATTAGGCTGCTTATAGCTGCACTAGTTAATATTCTACCAAAGCTCAATTTCATTACAATTTTCAAAAATAAATATATCTTATCAATTACGATCGGGAATGCTTTTAGCACGGCAAAAAAGTAAAAACACTTATAAAACAAAGAAATTTTATAAAAGAATTTAATGCTTTCTTTCACTTTAAATAATTAAATTTTGAATTTCCAAAGTTATTCAATAGTCATTTTTACATTCGATACAAATTGAAACTATCACTTAGATATTATGCGCATATTAAGATGAGTACAAGATAATTGCTACGCTTTATGGAATTCATTACTGTCAAAAAATTTTTTTTATACAATTATCATCAGATTACTAATTTATACTAAATTCAACTTTTTTTTTTTTAATTTCAATAATTATTACAACTGCTAATTTATTAACATCAAGTAATATTGATAAATAATAATATATATTTAAATAAATAAAAGAGCAAAGGATAAAATTTACATGAAAATAATATCCGTAATATGATTTAATGTAAAATATAAGCAAATAATAATAAAAATAGGATTAATAAATAATATAAATAAAATTTTAGAATAATAAAATAATACTAGAAAAATAATAAAATATAACAAAATAACAATAATAGAAATAGTAACATAATAATAATAATAATAATAATTATAATAATAATAAAATAATAGTAATAATAATAATAATAACAATAATAATAATAATAATAATAATAATAATAATAATAATAATAATAATAATTTACAAATTTATAAGATCGTTTGGAATTATTCGTTTTAGTCTTGTTGGGCGCGCTTCTGAGTATACTTTGTTGGCCAAGTAATTTGGGTGCTCGTCTATTCTTTTTTTGTAGTTGTTTGTTTTTTGTTGATACTAAATTCAACTGTGTGACTTAATCAGTGTCACTTCCAATTTAAGTAATTGACTATTTAAATAATAATTGGGTTGTTTATATTGAAATTTTATATAACTTTGACTGATTACTTGTCTTAAACCCTGAATTTTATAATTCTAGACTAACTCAATTACTGTTAGATCCACAAAAAACTTGCTGTAAAATATTTTTTGTAACTGCACAATAACACTCCGAATTCAATGCATTTTAGAAATCTGCACATTTGTGTAGATAAATATCTAACAAAATTGTTTTATTTTCTATCTAATAATTTTATTTAATCTAATAAAATTGTGTATCTTTGTCATGAAGTTTCTGCAGCCTGTATAGAGGCTTCAACTTGAAGATTTTATTTTATTTTACAGAATTTTCATTTTCATATAGCTATCATTTGTTTGGCTTGTTTCAGCAATTTGTTGCAGACATAAAGCATACACCACTAGATTTGTATGCTATGATAAAATTGACAAGTATGACAAAATCACATTCGAATAAAATAACAAAATAAACAAAATA